TTTCCTTCCTTTCCTTCCTTTCCTTCCTTTCCTTCCTTTCCTTCCTTCTTTCCTCACAGAACCAAGAACAAAAACGACTGAATCCAAACAAAAAGAGTCCCGACAAAATCCTAAAACATGCCTTTGCACATGAACCCATACAGTCTCGCTCGCCTTCATTGCTTAGGAACACCAAGCGGTCAGATTCCCATGCCTCTTGGGCCTTCTCCATACACACTTCCAAGGATGCAGAATCAAGGCTCGTTCCTCATTCGGTGTGCGAGACCGGGGCACCAAGTCCGGACATCCCTAGTAGCGTCCTTGCTCCTAGTAGCGATGCCAGGAGCCCCTAGTAGCTTCTTGTTACTACTAGTAAGGCACTTGTTACTACTAGCGATGCACTTGCTACTAGTAGCATCCTTGCTCCGTTCGTAGTAAGGCCAGGAGCCCCTAGTAGCGTCCTTGCTCCTCCACAACCGACTGGCATAAACTGGCCAGATTTCTTTGGACGACCAGATGTCGCCCACTGGGCCCTTTCGAAGAACCACAAAAGTCCAAACTGTTTGGAGGCGCACTTCACGGATCTCGTGAGTTGGAGCCCATCGCTATTGGGGCGGAGGCCGCTAGTAGGTGGGTCTCGTGGATCTCACGCCTGACTTCCAACTAATGGGTTTTGGGTCTACTTTCCTTCACAGCGGACCCTCATCCTGCATGACTTATCCGTAGTTGGAGCCACATCAATCTGTTTAACACATACTCAAAATGTATCTGACGCATCTTGAGGTCGATTACAAATGCATATTGTTGCCACTTCTCCAGAAAGGATTGAAAGGATCTTATGTTCTTACAAGATAACGCCTTTTGCACAAAATCATCCCCCAACTGGAACTCATTTGCTCGTGAAGCCGTAAAACCACATAAACGCAGCCCTCTTGTTCTCACTTTTCTGTCGGTTGTCCATAGATACTTTCTCTTTCTCTCCTCTATGTGTGTTTCCTTCTTCTCTTGCGTTTCTTCTCGTTTCTTACGCTGCCACACAACAGCCAAACTCAATTCTTTCGTGGTTTTTGGTTCGTCAATTGTTGGACATGCCTTTCTCTTCCATCTCGACTGGTGCAACAAATGGCCGTGCCACGCGTCTCACGAAAAAGAGGGCATCGGGTTTCTGTGTGGAGTCCACCATGATGCCCATGAGCACCGGCTCCGACAAGGTCTCCACCGCCACGCCGGTCTCAGCAACCACCTTTCTTGTTTGAACAGATTCGATTTCGTTCCAATTGAAACAATATGCATCGGACCTTTCTCTTTTGAACATGGTACAGGTCTAGGGTTTGGGATGGGTTCGGTTAAGCCTGAAACTCGCGGTCTAGTTGAATGGTTCGCCTTCGTCGCGGATTCCGCGCCGTGCGAGAGTTCCCAAGGATCTCAGGAGTGTAGTTTCTTTGGCATAAATAGAAACCATGTTTGCTACTAGGAACAAGTGCATCGCTCCTAGGAGCAAGGGCCATACTAGTAGTAACAATGTTTGCTATTAGAAACAAGAATTCACTTAAATTACTCTAATGGCAATTTTTTCTACTCTCATTGCAATTCGTTGGTAAATTACTCTGCAAAGGCTTGGAGGCCATCGCTAGTAGGTTGGCCATCGCGAGTAGGTGTTCTAATCTTGAGGCATCAAGTGCAAGTGCAGTGCACTGATGTTGTGGGGAAACCTTGTCAATGGATGTAGGCTTCGTAGCATGTCCTCTTGCAAGACACGTCAAGGCATTACTTATCTAAGCAAAGTGGCAATGAAGTCCCGAGGGGTAGCCTAGCATAGGGCCTATCACAGGGCCTAGGCTAGGGGATCCACCCTAGGTCAAGCATACCCCTATCACGGGACTTCTGTGTGAAAAATAATATTAAGCAATAAATAATGCATTAAACAATCGAAAGGTGTTAGAAGTACGCTACTAGGAGCACGGGGCATCGCTACTAGGAACAAGAAGCTACTAGGGGCTCCTGGCCTTACTACGAACGGAACAAGGACGCTACTAGGAACAAGTGGCATCGCTACTAGTAACAAGTGCCTTACTAGTAGTAACAAGAAGCTCTAGGAGCGATCGGACGCTACTAAGGGCTAATCTTCGGCCTCGTCAAGGGCAGATTGAAAGAGCTCCCGTCGTACCGCTTCTGAAAGCTCTCTCGAGGGATCTGGGAGGACGTCGTCAAGGCCCAGGTTCTTCGGTTCCGGATGGCCCGAGGGGCCATTGTACCTTAAGACAAACACGAAACGAATCAAAGACTTTTCTAGTAACAAGTGCATCGCTACTAGTAACAACTTGGAGTAGGCCGAGGAGAGGTGGCCAGGTAGCTAGGTAGCTAGCAGAGACAAGGTACGGAGCTACTAGCTACCAGTTAGCGTGAGCTATCTTCAAGGAAGCTCACCCGGCCGCTCTAAAGGCGGCGGGGGGAGAGCTTCAGGCTTCCGCCTTTAGAAGCGCTCGCACTAATGACTTGGTGCCTAGATTTTTTTGCAAAACTTAAGACCTATTCAAAGCTATATCCAGCTATTCATCTGCGCATGCTTTCTGAAAGGCTTCCGGAAGTCTCCATGCCATGTGGATCAAGCGGGCTTCTTGGAACAATAGGCTTTGTTCTAAGGCCCTGGGTCTTTGTTCTCTTGGAATACTCCTTTGAAACCTTGCAAGAATGCATGCTTAAATATTCACGTGATCTTGCAATGTACCTGCCGATGGCTCAAATGAGATGCAAGCTGAGGCCTGGACAAACCGGCATGGGTTCCAACTGCGCCTCAACTTTCACAAGGAGGAACCGTTTATTAGGTTGGAGGCCATCAGTTAGTAGGAGCGATCGGACGCTACGAACGGGGCTCCTGGCCTTACTACTCGGAGCAAGAAGCTACGAACAGGGCAGTCAGGGCATCGTTACGAACGGAGCGATCGGACGCTACTAGGTGCAAAAGGCCTACGAACGAAGCGAAAGGACGCTATGAGGGAGGCCATCGCTAGTCGCTAGTAGGTTGGAGGAGCTGCATCGCTTGCTGGTCACAGACTCAGCACCGCACCACTGCGCCGCAAGAGCACCATTTGCTGATCCGACGTGCAGAGCACTGCTTCGCAGCCCAAAGCATTCGAGAAGTGGGCGCCCTGCATTCGGACACCAAACAGCGAGGACATAGAAAACCCCAGAGCGATGGCCTCCAACCTAAGAGTGAATGCCTCCAACCTACGAGCGCGATGGCCTCCAAGCTAATGGAAAGAATACGTTCAAGGAAAAAGACAATTTCGGTCACCACATACCCCGTCCCCTAACTCCTTGCGCGAATATGTATTTGCAACAAAATGAATGGATCCTGCTTCGGCTGCCAAGAAAGAGGATCTTTTTTGGTTTGCTAGTAGAGTTCTTGTTACTAGTAGCAATGCCCTTAGCTACATAGTAGCTTCTTGCCCCTAGTAGCGATGCACCTTGTTAGTAGTAGCGATTTGCAATGGGATGAAATCCAACCAGCACCTCAAAAGGAATGAACCCCTTTTCTTCATTCTGCTGTACTTTTTGTTGGAATAAAGAATAGACGACGATGCCCTTTGGTTGGAGAAAGAGGTCCAAAAGGATGAGTCAGACCTCTTGATGTTCCTTTCTTGTGCTTTGTCTCTTCAAGAAGACATGTCTCGTGTTCCAGCCTTGTCACCATGCTTCTGGCCATCATCTTCGAAGCGCTTCCGCTTTTCAGCACTCAACCGGTTGGTGCCCAAGTACTCCTCAGTCACTTTCAGTGTTTCACAGGTCCCGGCCATGGCCTTGTAGCAGGCCTTAGGTACACACCCTCTGTTTCACACGGGAGCATGATTGAAAGAAGAACCGTTGCCAGCATTGCTTTCCAATCTTTCAGTGTCTCAGAAAAAATCAACAGAAGGTATTTTGAGACAAGGATGGAGACATTCTCTTACGACTTCAGCCATACAACAGAAGACCTGCAAAAAGCTAGATGGCCTAACTGCCTCCAGATAAACACGGTTGATCTGTCTTCCGTTTGTCCTTTTCATTTTTCCTTTAGACCTTAAGTCCTTTCCTTTCTCCTGTCGTCGCGTCTCGTCTGGTGTCTCCTTGTAGCTGGTCAGTCCCAGCTCCATCGTGAGGACGGGAGGACACGTCGAACTCACGAGGCTCACGCGACGTAGTCGGAATTTGGAGCCATTGAAGAGACGCGGGTTCCTTGGCACGAGGGCATCGCGAACCGAACGGGGCGATCGGATGCCTTACTACGAGCAAGAAGCTACTAGGAGCAAGGGCATTGCCACTAGTAACAAGGGCAACTAGGTTGGAGGCCATCACTGTTAGAAACAAAAAAAGAAAAGGCAGGTAAGGGAAAAAAAGGTCTGATAGGAGGCCGAGGCGGGTTCCTGGGGACGACGAGGCCAACGCATCATTTCGCACGATCTTCTCACATGTTTCTTGAGAGATCGTTGAGGAAACAAAAGGACGTTGAGGAAAGAAACAAAAACAGGAAAGAAAGCACTTTCTGTGCTAGTAGTAACAAGGACGCTAGTAGTAACAAGTGCCACGCTACTAGTAACAGGTGCCTTACTAGTAGTAACAAGGACGCTACTAGCTTCCCTTCACAAACCTGAAAGTCTTCGGTCAGTCCAGACTTAAACCCCGAGAAGGAAGCTGTCTGGCCGGAAATCAAAGATTCATCAGGTACCTGAGACAAAGACCGGGAAAGTCCAGAACATGTGTCCTGCACTACACTACTTGTGTCCTTTCTGACTCCTTCTTCCAGACCAACATGAGCTAGACCTTTTTGTCTTTGTCTATCTGGATTGAAGCGTGCCCTTTTGCCGATGGCCCGCTTTGGCCATTCAATGCTAAATTTGATCGAGATAGGATATATTTTCCGCAATAGAAGACACCGATGCGCAATGTAGTTTTTAAATAGTGTTTTTGTCGCCAAACAAGGCCTTACCTGCTGTCGATCCGATTGATCTAAATAAGTAGCACATTCTGGGAGGACATCCCAAGAATGATTATTGATTATACGTTCCAGATCGCTATGTCTTGATTTGAGTGCGCAATATCGCTCGGAACTCTTTATATGTCCTAACCAAGTCCATATATCTAATTCTTTTAAGTCATTTATTGCTTGAATGCAAGATCGAATTTTAACTTGAAATTAGTGAACCAAATAAATGTTAAAACCGATGAATTGATAAAAACGTAGCACCGATTGAGAAACTATGGGCCGGTAGAATACAATTTACTATTATAGATATACTTGTTATAACAGTTCCGATATTAGGTCGGATTATATCATCGTCGTTAGGCAAGAAGAAGGATGATAAGGACATTGATGATTTTCCGGTCGTACATTAAGAAGAGAAATAATCCAAGGATACCAATAAGGAGCCTAAGGACAGCGATCCATTCGCTGATCCTCTTCTTTCGTTGCCTATTGCTCTGGCCAGAATCCATAAGCCTCTTTCGAATAAAAAGGAATTATTGAAATTTCACATGAAATATTACCATATAAGTTATGAACAGTTGAAACACCGTACGCATGTACTTTATTTATTGACTGAAACCTATGAAATTTATACAAATTAGTTATGGAAGAGTCTGAGACTTGTCAAAAGTCGAAGGTTGTACCTATACGTAGTAAAACTAATGGTTTAAAATCAGAAGTTTTCGGAGAAATAACTTTTATGGACCACTGTGAAATTGCTACTCCAATAGGAGAGCTTACTGTTTTGGATGGAGCAACAACATTTTTGATTTCGTTATTAGTGTCATCCAAGAGTGAACTTGAGTCCATTAAGATTTTTCGAGAATATGTAGATGTCGCAGATCAAACATTTATGACACTTGTATGCAGGTCCAGCAGCAGGGTTCCGGTTCGCACCCACCGCAGAGATGTTGAGTATCCAGGAGAGGTTAAGTGACCTTAAAGGACCCTACTGGAATACCTATGGGACAGTCTATAGGGTCCTTCAACCTCTGTTGTGTTGGATTGTCCTGGCATGTCATGCTGACATGTCGTCATGCCAAAAAGGCCCACCATGCGTGCGCTGTCATGGTTTTCGCGCTGTGGGCTGTCGACATTCGAACATGCCGCGCGGTGTTTGCTAACGTGCCAAGGTGTCATGTATGCTCCACCGGTAGCCGCTTGTGAGAAAATTGAGAAAAGCCCCGCGTCGAACACTTTTTGAAGCAAAACAGTCGTGCGTCCACCTCTGCAGACCCTGACATCGCATTTTGACCACAGTGCTTTGGATTGGATCTGTTGAGACGTCATATTCCCAACCTGACATTGCATTGTTTTTTCTCATCAAATAAATGCCTCGCTCTTAGGCTGGAGGCCATTGCTATTAGGGTGGAGGCCATGGACCTTTTAGTTGGAACCTTCTAACGAATCTGTCAACGAACCACGGCAACTGCATCACATTTTGGGTGAGGGTTCTCGTACTCGTGACTTCAAATGGCTGACTTCCAACCGATGCCGAACTTTGTTTGCAATTGGTGAACAATCTTCTAAACGTCAGTTTGCCGGAGGATATATCTCTGATGCTGCTTGTGGCATCCAGACACAGAATCCAGGCAAGTGTTCTTGGTGAAGTTCCAACATTAGGTCATTCATGATATGATCATATGCTATGGCTCTGATGTGAGTGCCGAGCAAAGGCCATTAGTCCCGCTTGACGTTCAGCATAGACCGGGATGGCCAAGTGGATTTGGAAAGTTCTCACTTTCTCGTTGTAAACCTCCTCCTGCTCTACCTCACCTGTGATTCGAATCCTGACAAACTTTATTCTCATGAAGGCAGTGAGCTGCGGCAACTTCCTTTTCTTTCGTGGAATGGTTTCCCCGTGGACCTCATCTCCAAGACTATTTGGCCCGACGATTTGGTTTTCAATGTCCTCTACGCACTGTTCAATCAATGCACCTTTCGCAACAGGCCTCCCGAACGTCTGTTTGCGAAAGATCGGTCGAAATGTGCGAACGAGTGTCTTTGCCAAAGCGGCCTCCCAGCTGGATTCGATTTCATCCTCCGGATGTTCCTGAGAAACGCATCCAGTGCCCGCAAGCTTGATTTTGCATCTTGTTCATGAGGTCTTGAAAAAGAAGAAGAAGAAGCAGCTGTAAAGTGTCTAACATCTAAATGCGAAGCGCCATCGCTCGTAGATTGGAGGCCATTGCTACTAGGGTGGAGGCCATTCCTGCTAAGGCTCAAGTCGATTGTGCTCGACCGAAAAGGACAGATCCACCTGCTCCGCTTGCACCGTGCCCAGATCCTGTGAATGAAAGAGAAAAAAACGGGAGAGCACAAAACTTGAACCAAAAACATCTTTGTCATCGCTACTAGGAGCAGGGACGCTACTAGGGGCTCCTGGCCATACTACTAGGAACAAGAAGCTACTAGGAGCAAGGGCATCGCTTCTAGGTAGGAGGGCATCTTTGAAAGAAAGAAAAGGTTTAAAGGTCGAAAGAGCCCCACTTCGTAGCGCCCGATCGCTCCTAAAGAAACGGCGTCTTTGCTTCGCAAAGAAAAAAGAACACATAGTTTCACTTCAGGTCACCTGACAATCGGAATCTCACAAAGGCTACCAAAGCTCGTACATCTCGATTGTAAAAAAAGGAACGGAAGGGGAGGCCATCGCTGCTAGGGTGGAAGCCATCGCTTTTCAGTATACGGAACAAAGAATGGCAGCGATGCCCTTCGCTCCGTTCGTAGCGATGCCCTTCGCTCCGCGTGCTTCGGTGCCAAGGCTCGGTCCTTTGGTGAGATCAACAGCTCAAAGGCTTCGTCCATGAAAAAGGTCGAAGTCACGAAGTGGAAGAAGCGACGTCGAAGTTACTACTAGTAAGGCACTTGTTCCTAGTAGCTTCTTGTTACTACTAGTAAGGCACCTGTTACTACTAGCGTGGCACTTGTTCCTAATAGCTTCTTGCTTCATAAAGAATTCTAAGCTTCTTGCTAGTAGTAATGCCGCAATGCCCTTGTTACGAACGTAGCGATGCCCTTGTTACTAGTAGGGAGGAGAATTATATATTAAAATAGCAATATATTTACAAATTGACAAATTCTTAAAGCAAATTGGATAAAGGATTATACACTATCAAGAATTCTATATCCTTGCTTTTGACTGTTTGATTGAACCTTGACACATTGACGTATAAATCCTGGCTATAAATCCTGGCATGTCTTGAGCGTTTTGGGCTTGACGGCAGCGGTAACCCTTCTTGAAGAATTCGTCAAATGGCATGTCCACCAAGCGCCTGACTGGTTTTCCCGAACCCATGCCCCATGTTCGGTCCAATCTTTTTCAAATGAGCAATCCACACAAATGACTTGTAAAAGAAACCTTTTTCTCAGGCTTCTGCACAAGAACCTGTGGCCCAAAGGCCCAACCCCCCCCCACTCGTCCTCCAAAGTCTCGGCCTTGACCTTCGAAACACGGGATTTGTTTCTTTTTCTCAAAAAGCTCCATTCGAGTCGCGTCCTCTACCCCCCTAGTAGTACGGCCAGGAGCCCCTAGAAGCGTCCTCTACCCCCCTTGTGTTCAATCATCTCTCGTTCCTGAAAATTCGTGCATTTTACCAACATCAAAGTGGATCTGGGTTGAGGCGACTTGATGAGGAGCAAGGACGCTACTAGGCAAACTATATTGGACCTTTCTTCCTTTTTTCTTTGGTTCTACCTCCAACCTACTAGCGTAAGGTAGGCGGTAGGCCACTTGAGCTAAGTTCACGCAGCTGCTACAGCTAGCAAATGGAAAATGCCACTAGCTACAGCAGCTACAGCTGTTGCTGTACTGGGGTAAGCTGATGTAGCTAACAATTAGGTGACAAGAAGAAGGATTCTACTAGGCTTGCCCTTCACATGGGGAGAGCTTTCTTGAAAAAGGGCATTACTAGCAGTAACAAGAAGCTAGTAGTGCCAGGAGCTACTAGTAGCTTGTTACTACTAGTAAAGCACCTTGAACCTTTCCACCCACATGACCGCGTGCCTCGTTCCTTCAACCTCGCACTCCGCACCAGCCTGGGTTGAAAAGGACTGAGAAACACACAAGACTTCAGACCTCGACTTCAGTGTGACTAGAGAAAATAAGAAAAAAAGGTCTAAAGGGTTGTAAAGGTTGACAGGAAACACATATAAAAACATGTTAATTTCCAGCAAGAAGCTACTAGTAACACGTGCATCGCTACTAGTAACGAGGAAGCTTCTAGGGGCTCCTGGCATCGCTACTGGGAACAAGGACGCTACTCGACGGCAAGTGAGTCACGACGAATCTGAAACTCCCTGCGTCGATATTGACACGGTAGCAAAGCCGCCTTTGTTTCCGACTCATTGCTTGTGCTGCCAGGTGCGATTTTTTAGCTTGAAGTTTTGGTGATGATTTCAACCAAAGCATGGACAGTTGATGACCTTTGCAACCAGAGCCTGGAACATGTGACCTTGCCAATAATTTTGGCTCAAGATGTGTGCATTTTGCGCGTAAAAGGAGCGCGGTTTTGCTTTGCATTCATGATTTTGAACCTGTGCTGAACGCACAAATCGAGAAGTGAACCTAAGAAGGACACAGCACATATCGAGAAGTGTCCAAGAAATAGTTTGAGAGATTCAACATAATTTGCTTTGAAAGGAGATTTGATTTGACGTGATTTGTGAAAGTGAGAGCAAGTGAGAACTGGAAAGAGCGAGAAACACACACCGATTGAAAATGCCTTTGGAACAGCCAAGTGACTATCCGAAAGCGGCATTGCAAGCACACAACTCTCTCTCTGCTCCGACTCATTTCTCTCCCGTTCCAGACACACCAGAGTCACAGGTTATGAGCCCAAACACGGGCTCTGCCTCTTCAGTCTTGCCTCCAATTCCACCTTTTCCAGTGCACCTACGGCGAGTAGAGATGTCGGAGGTGGCCCTGTCTCACGAGATGTTACAGCAAATAGCCAGTCTAGTGAACTCAGGTCCTGAGGCAATGAATGTAGATGATGGGGGGGGCAAAGTTGTCACAAGCTGTTCGTGAAATAGCTTCCCAGATGAAAGGTCGAACTGAAATCCTTGCAGGTGCATTACAAAGTGTGGCCACAAGCACCCAGGGAATCAGCGATCGTGTTGTATTGCTTGAGCAGCAGCTCACAGAAAGCAACCGCAGAGAACAGATGTTAGTCGACCGTCTCCAAGCCTTCTCCAAGTCACAAGAAGGTCGGCTGAAGAGTGTAGAATCCACAATGGAAACCATAGGGCAAGCCTTGCAGGCCATGCAGCAAGCAATAACAGCTATGCAAGCCTCCCTTGAAGAACACCGTAATTTGACAAAAGCTAGCACAGATCGGGCAGAAGTCAGTCAGACAGATGCCGCTCTGCGCGTCAGTGTGTTGGAGGACCAACATCAGACTATGATGGACCTAGTCCACCAACTGTCCACCCAACAAGTGCCTGCAGATGCGCAACAGGGGCAAGGTATAGCAGGATACATGTCTCCAGTTGCAACTGCTCGGCCAGAACACTTCTCCCTCACCCCATCGCCGGCAGAGCCAGACACGGGTGGTGAGGATGAATGGTGGGACGCTGCTGATGGGCCGCACGAAGTGCCGCCTGGCTTTCCACAACCAGTGATCACACAATCAGTGCCTGTGAGCCTGCCACCAGCCCAGATGCATGTGCAGCAACCAGTGCCAGTCAGTCAACAACCGCTTCCTGTCACCGTTCGCACCCAGCACCATGTGATTTGTTTGACGATGGTGTTGACTACAGAAAAGATGGAGTCTGGAAGGTCTTGAAAGACATTCCAAAGCTTGAAATAAGCCCTGGCGAATCTTGGGAAAGGGCGCTTCAGCTCAGTGTCTGGAAGGCTGAGCTCATGGCCATTGCGCATGCGGTTGGCCGACGGTGGTTTCTCTTTCTGCAAGAAAGATTTCAGCAAGCTGAATTTGTATATGAGCAGCGCCAGATCGGCAAACTGTCTACTTATGAGTACTTGGACGAAGACATGGAAAGTAGATCTCAGTGTGCCGGCTCTTTCTTCCACGAGTTTGAAAGTCGGTGCTGCATCATGTTGATGAAAACCTTGCCGGAGGAAGTGAAGAGGCCTGTCCTGGAATACTCTTCCAGGGCCAAGGTCACAAGTCAAAAGTTGTTGGTGTCATTGCTTGAAGTTTTGAATCCTGGCGGTAAGGAGGAAGTCAAGTCTCTACAGCAATGGGTGCGCTCACCGCCAACCTCACAGACTTTTGACGAGGCTTTCAAGGTGCTACGCCGGTGGCAGCTAGCAGTGTCACGTCTTTCAACGCTCGGCCTGCCGCCGCTTTCTGCCCATGAAAAGCTGGGCGCATTGGATTCAATCCTCCAAAAGTTGGAAAAGAAGTCTGAGCCTTTGAGATTCAAGCTGCAGGCTCTTAGAATGGCGCCTGAAATCCGCAGACCCCAAGATGCGGCTGTCCAGCAGATGCTTTCGCAAGTGGAGGAAGAAGTCCGTATTCTGCAAGCAGATGAGAGGACCAAGTTCAACCGGCAAGGCTTTGTTGAAACAGTTTTTCGAGCAGAAGTAAAGCAAGCTTCCAGACCAGCCCCTACCAAGAATTTCTGTCAGTTCTTTGCGCAGGGGCATTGCAAGAAGGGACCAGTGTACTTTCCCACACCTCTCTCCTTGTAGATTCTTTGCCCTGGGTCACTGCAAGCACGGAGATGGCTGTCGGTACCCGCACATCAAGGGTACTTCTGGGGCTCCAAGGGCTCCCCCCAAAGGCGCATAGTGCCAAGGCAGGGCCAAAAAGGCCTGAAGCCAAGTCCAAGGCTAAAGCTGCAGCAGCGGAAGGCTCTGTGATCGATGATGGGCAAGCTCGAGCATCTTCAGTTCGCTCACTAGCTATGGCAGCATCTACTCCACCTGCGCCTGTGGCAAACCACGCCACTTCAGGCGATGAGCGAATGGTTCTCATTGATTCGGGAGCTAATGAAGTTATCCGCCCTTTTCGCCCAGAACTGGAGAAACAACTGCAGAAGTTGTCAGCCATACAAGTGGCCCTTGCAAGTGGTGAGGCGGTTTCAGCGTACAGAACTAGAGATGGTGAATTAATTCTCCCTGTCGCAGCCGGTGCATCAGCAGAATGGATTGTGCCGTTAGAGCGGCTCACCGTGGGTTTAAATTGCATCTTCTCCTGGAGGGGGGCAGATGGCAACCCAATGTTGCATGTCCCTCAAGAAAATGGCGCTTTCCAACCAATTCAGGTGATCTTGAAGAATCGCCTTCCATACATCTCCTGGGCAGATTTCCAGCCTTTGAGGAGGAGGCTGGCAAAACTGTGGCAAGGCAAGCCTGTCAGATGTCTTGCATGCCAGGCCATTCCTTCAGCTGTGCACTCAGGTCCTTTGCCGAGCTCTTCTTCGTCAGAGCAGAGGGGCTTGCACCCTACTGCTTCAGTCGGTCGGGGACTTGATGTGAACAGCTCTGGCCAGCCAGACCTCCGGAATGAAAAGAACGAAGACGATTGCAAGGCCACTCGTCCAGCTGCGCGCCCAGGTCCTTTGCCGAGCTCTTCTTCGTCAGAGCAGAGGGGCTTGCTCCCTACTGCTTCAGTCGGTCGGGGACTTGAGGTGAACAGCTATGATCTGAATGAAAAGAATGAACACATATTTGAGATGGAAACGTTGCACACGCTGGGAAAGAAGCTGATGGCTTTGGGTTTCGGGCCTCCTCCTGAACCAAAGCCGGCTGACCACGAAGTCTTTCATTGCAATTCTTGCAGGGCTGCTGTTTCTAGGATCATTGACCTTGAAGATGAAGATGTTCCAGTTGAAGTGGCAGGGGGTTCTTCTGAACTTTGTCCCGAGAAGGCGGCTTTGAAGAAC